CCTACAGGATGAAAACAAAGCTGCGCGGAGGTTTTAGTGGTGTTTTTCCATTACAGGCTCCTGAAGGATGCTTCCTCAGATGTAGTTTTAGTGCCCAGCAGTGTTGTCAAATCCCAAAATGTGCCTTGGTCTCATCGATGATTCCCGCAGTAGTTTTTAATCAATGCATACACAATTTTTCAAAAAAAGAAAATCATGATGTTAGGAACTTTTGCACCTTTACTTGAAACCAGAAACTGAAATCTGTCCTTTCCACAAGTCTTCCGAACCTGAGCTGTGGCTCCAGACTGTGCTCAGCTGCGTTCCATTTGAGAAACTCACATTTCACACCGCACGTCAGGACACAAGCAACTCTCTTGCTGCCTTTCCAGTATGGGAGCCTAATGAGCGTACACCACGTTCTTCCCTTAACCATCACCAAGCGTAGCCTCCGAGGTTGACGCCGACCGTCCTGCTTTGTTTTTCAAATGTATTTTCTCTGTTGGTCTCTGTTTAAAGGAGGGAGGGGCTGCTCCACACACGCAGTCAGCTGTGTTTACACACGGTGCTTGTAATACTAATGCTTGAGGTGCGAAGACATGGACATTTAACCAATCGATCACTGCCGACTGCTCTGCTTAGCCCCCCCTCAAGGGGTGCTGAAATCTAGCTCCCAGAATGCACCTCCTTTTACCTTTAAACTAATTCTCTACAATTGATCTTTGCTGTTGCCCCTTGTTTCCCCTGGAGGGGGTTTAGGAGAAGCTGATAAGAGTCAGTAATCTCAGATCTGTTCTCTGCTTCCTGAGAAATTAGAAAGGTCTCACAGTCTTAAATTGAATTGGTGAGCTCTGCAGAAACCTTGCCAACACCACCGACCAGTCAGGAAGTCTTTGTGACTTTGATCCCAGAGTCTCTGCGGATAGACAGCAGTGATTTGTCTTGTTCTGTGGATTGAACGAGCACGATATAATGTGTTACACTGAGATGCTGGTGGTTGTTACCACTGGACAGAGTCAAATTAGTTTTCATGCTAAGCTCACCGGCTCCTGGATCCAGTTTCATTGAGTCCACAGTTTTCTTCCTATGTATACTCATGAAAATGTGTCATTTATGTTTTTTGGCAAAATCGTGTTGCTGTATTACACAAGCTGTCAGTCCTGCACCTCGTTGGCACTGAGACTGATTCCTGGTAAAAGTGGCTTTTAGCTCAGTCATAGATGCAGCTGCTCTGAGGACCGAGTCTCTGCTCGCACAGAGATGTTTGTTTTTCTACCTCAGAGCACAGAGAAGATCCAGCCATGCTGCTCTGCTCTGACTGCAGAATCTGTCTCACAGGAGGCACAGCTCAGTCTGTTTCACATTTCACACAACAACAGACAGCAACAAACGCACCTAGAGAGAGGGGGCTAGTTTCATACTGTAGTGAGAGGAGGAGGGGAGATAGAGGCTGGTGCACATGACTAATGATTATTTTCATTTCACATTAATCTGATGATAATTAGTCAGCTCATCATTTTGTCTGTAAAACATCAGAAAGTGGTGAAAAACACACACCCAGCATCCTAGAGTCTAACATCTTTCAACAGCAGTTTAGGTCCTAAAACTAGTCCCTCTACGAGACCTGTGCCACAAGATGGAGGATGGAGAACCCGACATAGTTGGTGCTGTAGTGTGTTTTATATATATCAGATTATTTACAGCCAGTTAATACTGAGTGGTGCTGGGGATGCTGGAGCCCCTGGGCAGGTACCCACTTTGCCCAGTTTGATAAGTTACAAATCCCAACTACGTATTTTAGTCAAGTTGTTCAGCCTCATGTGGAAGAGAGCGAGAGAGGGAGTGGGCTGGAATGAATGAGAGCACACAGACAGGGAAAGGCTAAAAGAGAAAGGCAGACAGGAAGAGAAATGAAGCGTGAGGCAGAGAGAGAAATGAAGACGTAGCTTCACAGGAGAAGACAGAGAGTAGGAGAGAATGAAAAGGGCAAATGAACAGGGGCCGGGCGACAGATAGAAAGAGACAGAGAGAGGGGGGGTTGCTCAGTAGTTTCCAGAGGGCAGGTGGGCTCAGCGCAGGTGCACCAGCTCCATCATTCAGACACTGTTCACGTCTGGGTTAGAAAAATAACCTGCAGCGCCGAACACAATCAGGACACCTTTTGTTTAAAGGTGCTCTACTGAAACTGTTCCCTTCACAGCTTCAGCCACTGATTGCCTCAGTAATAATGTATTGATCCAGATGCAGAATGACCCAGATAATTAGGCCCCCCCGTTTTTAACAGCTGTTTTTAGCACATAAAACCTTTTTGCGCTCATCTTGTTGGGAGAGCTTTCCTGAGATCACATTGAACCAAGGAAAAGGGGACTCATCATCTCAACATGAAACAGCCAGTAGCAACCTCGTCCATGGCTCATCTGTAGAACTGTAGTTGATGGACAACTAGTAACTCATCAGCTAGATTTGATGCTTTTCTTTATCAGAAATGATTGCACACTGAACACCGTTAGTTGAACAAACCAGACCTGGGCTGTTGTAAATTATACATTTTTTCATGATTTTTGTCTTTTTAAAAATAATTCCTGACATTTTATAGACCCATCCGTCTTCGTCCGTTTTATCCGAGGCCGGGTCACGGGGGCAGTAGTCCGAGCAGAGCCTCCCACACTTCCCTCTCACCA